AATGTCCCTATTTTGTATTTAATGGTGTATTGTAAATAAAATAGAGACAAATTGAGGAGGAAAGCTTTCATTATTGTCTCGAGATTTGGTTAATCTCTCGACATTAATGAAACACTTTTCTCCTCGGTATGTAATATACTATTACATTTGTCTTAAAACCGAAATAGACGCGCCACGACAATAAACAATCGTTAAATCATTCCATGTGCGAATAGAGGTAGGGTCCTTTCTATTCCCTTTTTCTCCACTCTCTACAAAAGGTCCCTAAGAAAATTCCGCTCTAATTTAACATAATATATGCAGAGGGTCGGCTCGAAGGACCGAACCAGTTTCCTGTCGATTCCGCAGGCGGACGTAGGCCCTTTTCTCTTCTCGTACTTTTCGTTCGAGAATTACGGCCGGAGACCTTGGCCCTTTTCCATTCTTCTATTATAGCCGGTGGGCGTAATATACGGTGTAGTTTAAATTTCAATGGATTTTTGGGTTTTAAACGAAATTAAATCGTCTAGATTAACTTAGGTTAGATTCTCTCTAGAGGTGGATCTCAGCCTGACCCACTGCGACCTTTCTGTGATCTGTTGTGTCTCTTTGATCCCTAGGGTATTATTCATTCTATTACCGAACCACCTTACACACACAAAATATACACACACAAAAAATATTTAGCCAGTTTATAGTAAAATATCAATAACTCTAAATAAATTAATTTCGATGTCATTAGTAAATATAGCAATAGGAAACATTAGACCAGTGTTTTCAAGATCACATTCGATTTTCAATTCAAATATAATTCATTTACGGCGTAGAAAGCCTGTCTAGTAAATAAGATTCAATGCTTTCTATGAAATGAAAAATGATGTTATGGATTTGATTTCAAACCGCAGGTGATTGTGCATTTTTCGAGTTGTATAATATTGAACTTTTAACCAACTCTGAGCGTGGCGGTGGTAGATAAAGATCTTGCTCCTCGTTCCTGAGTGGATAAGGATGAGATGGCCTCTTCTTGAGAAGCTGATATGTGCTTGCGGATTAGGCAAACGGATTCAAATATAAATAAGGAAGGTGAGTCGATATTCTTAATTCCTTAAAAAGTCCCGGCAATGAGTTCTGTTGTTTAGTCCTAGTGAATATCGAACAGCTCTCTGGAGCTTGAAAATGCAGTCAAATTGAGTCGCACAACACGTACCCTAGAATGGAAGGCCATAACGAAGATGCGACTCAAAAAGTGCATAATAAACAGTTCTAGCCACTGACAAGTTAAGCTCCTTAGAAACAGACCTTTATGCAAAACAGGCTGAGCTCAATTTTTTCGACAAAGCTCGATATGTATGTCCCATTTCAGAGAATTGTCCACAACAAGCCCTAAAAATTTTCCAGATTTTACGACGTCAATGGTGGTGTTGTTAAGTACAAAAAGGCTGCAACGAGTTTTATACGACAAAGCTTTTAGTTTTAGAAATGTTGAGACCCAGAAGGTCTGAATCGCACCAAGATTTAACAATGATTAAGTCATTTGATATAATCCCATGAAGTGCCGTGATGTCCTTGTAGCTCCAAGTGAAGCTAGTGTCGTCCGGAAAAAGACATATTTTGCCACTGATGTTTATATTAGCAATGTCGTTAATAAAAACAAGAAACAAAATAGGGCCTAGTACTGAGCCTTGTGGTACCCCACATTCTATTGGCTTGATAGAAGACAACGTGGTATCCACCCTCACAAGTTGACTTCTGTTGTTCAGATACGACTTAAACCATTCGAGATGATCCCCTGAACCCATAGTGCTGCAGTTTATTAATTAGATCTTTATGACTTACAATACAATCGAACGCTCCTTAGAAAAATCACAGAAAATTGTTGCTGTAGAATGATGGTTGTTTAGGCTGGAGTAAACTTTATTAAGGAGTGAAAACATAGCGTCATTTGTGGACTTGTTGCTTAGAAATCCAAATTGATATTCAGTAAGTATTTTGTACTTAAACAGAAAAGATACCAGCCTTCTTTTAACCAACCTTTCTATGATCTTAGATCTAACTTATACACATACAACAATACAAAAGTTCTAAGACTTTCATTCAAATAAAGTCCTCCCACTTTAGGTGTCTGCTCAGCAATAGATAAAAAGCATTGAAAAAGCAAATGATCTAGCTAGAAAAGGAGCGAAAACTCCACTAACTGGACCAGAACCGTTCTGTTTTCCAAACGGGAACCAACTGAAAGTGGAACTGAAGAATCTGGAAGACTCCACTGTAACTCTGGAATGGGAATGTTCCAACGGTCTAAGACACTGAAAAGTTCCTCGGAACTTACGACCGAGAAAAAGGTTTTCCTTGATTTAGGTAAAACCAATCTTCGGATTGTCACGGGTTTTAACAGGAACACTGTCTCCCTCAACGAACAAACTGAAGCTGAAAAACAACAGCGAATGCAGATTCTGTGGGGAAAATGGGGAAACACCAGAACACCTTATGAGTGCGCCAAGACCATTCGTACCATGAATACGGTTGATGTCGAGGATGGTGAGCTGGCCTCTGCAGATCGTCTCAGATACTGGCTTTTGTTTAAGCCCTGAGAAAGAGGAACATACTATAGATCTGTGTTTATGCTCGGGCTCTGCGAATTAAGGTGATAAAGGAAGTCATCAAGACTGTCACGTCCATGTTTCCAAACTACAAATGTATCGTCCACATAACGAAACCATTCAGAACGGATGACTCTAGCGCTTTTTTCTTTAAATCTCTCCATAAAGAATTTAGCAATTATTGGGCTGATTGGGCTACCCATTGCGACACCTTCTGTTTGTTCGTAATAATTGCCGTTCCATAAGGAATAGATACCAGTCAGACACATTCCTTGATTAGATCCATTGACTCGCCTAGGGGTACTCTCATGAATAGCGATACCACATCGAAGCTTACCATGATGTCAAATGGTTCCAGTTTTATATCTTTTAGCTTTTGGACGAAATGCGTTGAGTTCTTCACACAAGAATTTGTGTTGCCGACTTTCGGTTGTAGAATCGTAGTCAAGTATTTAGCCAAGTTGTAAGTAGGCTATCCTTGGGCACTCACTATCGGTCCAAGTGGGACACTAGCTTTATGAATTTTTGGTAGTCCATAAAGGCGTGGTGGTTGAGCTTCCGAGTTGATTAATTTTGATTTCAGATGTTCCGGGAGTGGGGAGGTCTTGATGAGTCTTGTAGCGTTTTTTAAACAACTACCACTGCGAACGGCAGCTTTTCATCGGAGAGCAGTCGTGGATAAGGTATTTCACTAGAGAGAAAATTAATCAATAATAATAAACAAAAGATATATAGATATTGGGCGCCAGGCATGTACAGAGAAAAAGAAAACACAGTTGTATAATACTTAAAACTAATGACTATATTTATTCGTGATGAATTCTGATGGTAAATAGCATTGTACAATTTTAATAATTATTATAGTGGTTACTTGTTGAGTAAAAACTATATATGTAAATAATATTAAATACGTTCTATGAAAAGACTATAAAGAAAATACAATGCGTGTAGCGTTATAGAAAATATAGGAAAAGTAGCATTACTTTTTATTTAAATTGTTAAATTTATACGGTGTTAAATCAGATGTGTTGCAACCTGTAGATTCTAGAATCTATCTCGTTATTCATCTGTTAGTATAGCGTAATAATAATGTCTATAGAAAGTAATACTATTACAATGCGTGATATTATGAAATCTAAAATCTAAATCACACTTTTACTACTGCATCGACATAAATATCCTTAATAATCTAACCACTAAATATAGTCTGTACGCTATTGTTTAAAATGTAATGTTACTGTTTAAGACTGAAAACATTTTAGATGTTAAATGCAAAACTAGAACTTAAATATACACTTAGCTGTTCTTTTATGTAAACCTGCTTCAAACAGTAGCAGCGCGAGGAGGTCTAGCATCTCTGTACTGTCTGTCGGCGATCCAGGCTTAGAAATGGGGGTGAGCAGCACGGGGCTCAAGCCACATCCACGCTGGGGCACTCTATGTGTAAGACAAATCAATCCTACTGGGGACACTTGTCCATGGGACATCCGTCCATAAGATAGTGGCACAAAGAGAACACTACTAGGACCTTGAAAAATAGTCCATACCTTGGACACTTGTCCGTAAGACAATGTCCGTCCGTAAGACCCTAAGAACACGAAACTCTTGTTTAAAATCAAACACCGTCTAATAAACAAAATGAACCTACCTCGAAATACTTCCGGGGGCTCCATAAATAATAAACAATCTGTCCTTTCTTCCAAATGACATTCTGAGGACAAAAGCAAAGGGACGCCAACGTGCCAGCCAAATACAAATACAAGTTGGGACATCCGTAACTCTACCCTAAAATATTCACTAATAATATCGAATCTAAAAGGAAAATAACTCAGCTTTACCTGTAGCTTCGAAATAGCGGCTGATTCAGATTATACAGCAAGATTTAAATAATCACCATTTCTAAAAGCTGGGATAAAACAGAGCGTCAAAACAAACTGAGGTTAAGCACGGAGAGTTGACAGAAGCGACGTTGACAGCGCGCGCCTTCACAGAATAGTAACAGGGTTGTGTCGAACGATCACAGGGTTGGCGACCAGGGAACGTAAAAATTACGCGTCAAATAATCTATCCGGCCTGAACGAGAGGGAATCCGGTGATGATAGGCCCCAGACATCATATATTATATATAAAAAAGACATGTAACGAACTAAAAACGTTACAGTCTGTTGGTGTTTCTGACAATTAAGGCAGTAGGATCCTTCTTCAGTAACTTATAAGTCTGAGGCTCCAGGAGATCCTCGATTTTATACCTATAATCAGCAGATTTCATTACTACTGTAGCATTCCCCTTGTCTGCCGGTAAGACCAGAATGTCCTTGTCAGCATTCAGCGATTATAGAGCCTGGTGTTCTTCACTAGACAGATTACTTTTTGGAGCCTTAGCAGTTCTCAATACGTATGGCAGCTTCTGTTCCGGCAATAATGTCTTCCACTGAAACCACTTTCGGTGTTATGGCAGAGTTTCCTCCCTTCGCTAATAATGTTACTTCTGGTGTCATAAGGGTCCTATCTGTGAGATTCACCACGGTTCGAGCAGGTTCAAGAAATACCCTATATTCTGGCTTGGGTTTTGGTTGGAGTTTTTCATATTTGATCTTCTGGCACGCTGATGTTCTTTCCAATTCATTTTGCATATTTTGGATCACACGGTGTATCGAAAACCCACTCATACAGACCGGTACTTACACAAACTATCAAATCACCATCCAAGCCAAAAACAGGGGATTATCGGAACATTAGCTAATAGGGCAAGACGTATCTGTGCTAATGAACACATCCAAGAGGAACTCAGCCATTTAAATAAAGCCTTTCTTGCCAATGGCTATAATGACAGAGAATTAAAGGCGGCGCTGGTACATAGGCAGAGGAGACCTGACGTCAATGAACAGAAAAACGTCATTAATAAGGCCTTCCTTCCATATGTTTCCCAGGTCACCGATAGGATTGGTAAAGTTCTCAAGAAGCATAACATCAAAACCATATACAAACCTACCCGGAAAATAAGGGACTGCTTAAGACCAGCCAAAGACAAAAGAGAACCATTATCGTCTGCAGGGATCTACCGTATACCTTGTTCCTGCGGTAGCGTATATATTGGAACTACCAAACGCTCAGTAGGAACGAGACTTACGGAACACAAGAGAAACTGCAGATTAGGGCAAACAGAGAAGTCAGCTGTAGCAGAACATGCTCCAAGAGATGGTGACTACAAAATCCAATTCGAAGACACCCAAGTCATTACCACAACATCTGGATATCATCCTCGTCTGGTCAGAGAAGCTGTTGAAATTCACAAACATCCAAATAAGGAAGGAAGAAACTTTCTACCTTAACAGAATTTGGCATCCAGCTATATCTAGGACCAAAGTAGCAGCACAGAGAAGTAGACCAGTTTCGGAAGAACTACCATCCGAACAAGCCACGCCCAATACGCCGACGCGGAGGCATCAGTCTAGTGTTAGCAGTCGGAACAACATGCCTCTGAAGATGCTAGCCACTCGTTCTAGCGAAACGTTAGGAAGCAATTCTAACCGACGACGGCCTAATAACCCGAAAACCCAAAATACTTCAAACGATGGCCGCGAAAGCCTAAACTACTACATTCTTCTACAAGACTTTCATTTTTATCTGCAATGAGTATGGCTCTCTTAATTTTTTTCCACCGAAAATCACACTACAAACTTTGATCCTTTCATTACTCTCCGTCTAATGCTCTTCGAAAGAAATGCCCAAGTACGCCTTATTTTGCCTCCGAATTTTCCGAAACACGAAATTCCACTACAGTCGCTCTCCCTCTCTGTCACTCTACCGGCTTTTGCGGCGCCTATGTATATTAATTAATGTTTTCTGTTGTGTTGCAGCGAAGTTTTGCTTCAATTAAGTTTAGGGCAAAGTGCCTCTCCCGCCGCGCCGTTCTTCCATCCCCTCTTCTTCTCAGAAAACTTGCGGAAAATAAATGGAAAACAATTTAAATAGTCGCCTGAACGTGTGTACGCGTGTGAGAGTCTCGAAACTTTGCTTCGACGTGTATTGTTTTGTCGCTTACTGGCTGTGTACGTTATAAATGAAAGTCGACAACTTCGACTGACAACTTTCCAGACAGGGCCTCTCGAAGTATCTGGTTAAATTATAATTTTAAATTTTAGTCCTTCAAAATTTAAGTCCCGCAAAATTATACACAGAAAATACGGTTGTTTTCGCTGAATCTTGCCCATATAGATTCATTTCAGTGGCGGTTCGTCAAGGTAGGCTAGGTAGTATTTTTTGCATTTAGTTTTTTATTAATTCCCAGTATAACTTATTACAATTCTACCACACATTCAACATAATAAAACTAAACACATCCAGGTCCAGGCACAACATAAGCCGCGTAAACCCAGCCAAAAAGAACGCGACTCGACAAAGGTATACAGAGGCGAAACAATTCTAGCTTGGAAAGTTCGAATTGTCTACTTATTAGCAGCCACGATTTAAGATCATGTGACGCCTTTGAGGCGACGCGACGGTCGACGACGGGGTACACATTCTCGATTGAGGCGTGGTTGAGGCGCGATATATGGCGCTTGGGTATGTTTTCGTTGGTAGTTTAAATCATCTGACTATTGAAAAATACGACGAAGTTTCGATCTCGTATGCATGACTCAGGAAGTTAATGTGCCGGTGGTTGTCCGGTTGTGGTGAGAACAGCGTGGGTGAATTAATTAGCGTATATTTTTGTTTTTGTTTAGACATTTAGGTCGAGAATTATTTGTTTGTGTTTATAAATTTAAATTATTTGATGGCTATTAGATATAGTATTTTTAACTCAATTACGCGCAGGTAAGGTGGAAATTTTAGCAGTTTTTAAAATTCAACGCAACAAATATTGTTGAAATTTGAAATACACACACCGGAAAAATCTAGGGATATCATTTTATTAAAGTTAAAAATAAATGTTTTGAATAAACAACCACATATCTGTAGGCCGATTCTTTCTACTTCGATTGAAACGAAGTAGTCACACTAGTTATTTCTAAATTTGGGATATTTGCAGAAGTGTTTGTGCATTTTTTGTCAAATGTATAAAAAGCACCTAGCATCAATTGTTCGAATTTAACCTGTACTGGCTATTTTTTTATGATAACTGGCCAGAATTCATTCAAATAACTATGTTTAGTATTAAACGACATTATGGAGCGTAGACATCTTAACAGAGATAAAATGCTAAGGGCCATGGGTATGCTCGAAGCTGGAATGCGCCAATAGACATAGCTAGAGCATTAAATACAACGCAAAGTGTAATATCGCGATTAAGTGGTGATGTTGCTGAAAGGCACACAGGGCGACATCCCATTACTACCCCTCAGCAAAATCATTTTTTACAATTAAATGCTCGACGCCGACCAACTCTTACAGCACCAGAGCTTAGTTTAATTCTCCAGGAAACACATAATGTAACCGTTAGTCCTGACACTGTTCGTAATAGATTAAGAGAGGTCAACTTAAGAAGCAGACGCCCCTGGAGAGCTCAACCCTTAACGAGAGGAAATCGAGAGGTACGGTATTTGTGGGCTCAAGATCATGTTCAGTGGTCGAATGAACACTGGGTCAATGTTCTCTTCACGGATGAAGAGGAAGAAGGCTTAGGGTATGGAGAGAACCGGGAAATCTTATCCGGTTGGATCATGTTCAGGAAGTGCACCCCTATCAAGGTGGAACAGTTATGGTCTGGGAGGAGTCCAGTTAGGCCGAAAACCGATCTCGTTTTTCTTGAAAGGTTTCTAACAGGAATCACATACCGTGATTTAGTCCTTGAGCCTGTCGTGTTACCATATGCCAATGATTTTGAGAAACTTCATCCTCATGCATGACAATGCACGCCCTCATACAGCCAGAGTGGTGAGTTTATCAATGCTCATCGATTAAACATCTTACCATGGCCTGCACAATCTCCTGACCTCAACCCCATCGAGCACGTATGGGACGCGGTCCAAAAAAGAATTTTGAGAATGGGTATGCCTCGTGAAACCCGTAGGGATCTGGTTCGGGCCGTGAACGCAGCGTGGCAGGCTGTACCTCAAGGAGAGATCGACAACCCGATCAGGAGCATGGAGAGACATGGCTGTAATGTAACAGTAGAGGAGGCCATACCCTTTATTAAGTAAAATGGTTTTATCTTTTTTTTTTAATTCACAGTTTAGAATAAAAAATGTGTGTATTTTTTGAGTTCAATAAAATCAAGGTAAATTTGAAAAATTGGTGCAATTTCTGCATTTTTATTTCCAATACGTCCTGTAAACTATTTGTTTATTTTATTTTATTATATCAGAAATGCAATAATAAAATTTGAGACGATGGCTGGATAAAATTGTAAAATCCCTAGACTTTTCCGGTTGTGTAGTGAGGCTTTTCTTTGCCGGTAAGATTTATTTTAATTTGTTTTAAAGTACCGAAGAGGAGTTGAATTTTAGTTTTTTAAATAAATTATATTTATAACGTTATTCTTTATATACTTGAAACTCCTTTCCTAAGGACAAAATGAAAATATACAATAAGTGATTAACAATAAGAGACTAAGTAGACAATAGGTATTTAAAAAAAAAACTTTCAAATATTTTTTGCGTACCAAACCTAATAGGTTTTTGTTTTGTTTTTACTGCATTCGAATGTTATCTACAAATTTTCAGCTTTCAAAAACAGTTTGAGGTGTTTAATTAAATTACACTAATAAATTAGCTGATATTATAATTTTATAATTATAATTATACACCTAATCTTTATTCTCATAAATGCCATAAAATTATGTATATTATTATAATAAACATTTTTATTACAATTATAAAAACATATTTTTAAGTTATTTTATAGAGGACAACAGAAATACGTAAACTTGAAATTCTAAAAGCATTCTGTGAATTTCCATTTCAATAACTTCAACAGCAAAATTTTAAAATCCGTAACCTTCTCTCCACAATGGAGCCACCACATTACTAATAAACAGCTTAAATGGTCCTCGTAAAAAACAAAATACTTGTCTAAATGAAAAATAGTTCTCTATAAAATTTTTAACGACCCTAATTAATGAGTTCGTAATTTACTGTCGTCAGCTGTTATTTATAGCTAAACCCTCAGCGCAACTTGCTCGATTTTATACTGCTTAAACTCAAAAATTGGTGAAATTTTTAATATTATTTTCATTTAAATTTTATAATGTCACAGGATTAGGTTAAAAATAATTTGAAAAAGAACAAGTGCATAGATCGTAATTTTCGAGAATAAAATAATAAAATCCTAATAGAAAGTAAAAAAATTGGCGCCCATACTAAAATATGTTGGTAGGTAGTTCTTTTAGTTTCAAAGTAAAGGCGTTTTTTCAATTTTTTTTTATCTCAAAACTTTTTATGATGTACCGAGTGGCCAACTAAGAACGGACTCCGGCTGTATCTCAGAAACTACTTATCGTATAACTTTGGGGAAAAAATTTAATAAGTAATCGACCAAGAAAAATCGCTGGAAATTATCGTCAAAATGAGCCTCGCCAGGGGGCGTTTCTCTACGTCAATCAGGAAACAGGATTTTTCTCAAAAAATATGCAGGTGAACAGGTATTTTAAATATTACTATTGTAATCTTCGAAAAATTTGTAACTTTTTGATATACAGTATTTTGCTCTATCTCATAAAATAAAGTGGTGGGGAAAGGTTAAATTTGCTTTTATTAAAATATGGATAACTCCGGTTTAGGTTACCCTCGATTTTAACAATTCAGGCTCTGCTTTAAACGAGCTTTTTCTTCCTTTAATGACTTCCACTATAAATTTTGTTTCCACAGTTTTTTCGTGGTAGCTAGAGGCGCTGTTTGACATGGCAATATTAAAGTTTTCGCAAAAAAATTTAAATATGAGGTTGTTTCCCTTGCGCTCTGATAAATGAATGGTTTTAGCTGCCGAATTACTAGAATACAATATTTCAAGGCAGATGACGCATCTATTCGATAATTTTTATTCGAATAGTTTTCAACGAATGTTTTTTTACTAGCTATCGAATTATTCGAATGAATTGCAATTATCGAATGTTTCGATAGTATTCATTCGATAGTTCCCACTACTATTAATAACGCTAATCATCGTCGACCTCTTAGGACCAATTAAATGATTGTCAAGCCGCAATTTGACACCCCTTTTTTAATTATTTTCCGCTCCCTTCTTCGAGCAGCCCTCGACGAAACCGGAAAGATGTATTTGTTGTCTTTATGTTTGATATAAAGCTTAGGCGTAGGGCGAAGGGCGTGCAAGAACTTCGGAGAAGATTACGAGCTGCCGAGGATACGATGTTGCCAACACGACGACAAAATAT